TATAGCCGCTCCTTCATCCTGGTCCAAATTTAGCAATGCATTAGTGTCTACTTCAGTATCGCTAGAGATGCTATCGCCAGAGCCTCTGGCACAACTAGAAAACGTTTCTTCGTCTGTTTGATATTCACATCACGTATGTCTCCTCCATAGCTCTCCATTATTCTAAAAGTAAAAGAAACCTCGTAAATAATTTCTCCGGATTTATGTCACTTGAACTGCCTCGGCCTCGGTTGGGCATGCTTCACAAATGGCTTGTATACATTTACCTGACCACATCGCTTACAAAACGTCATACTACAGCCCACCAGAGTTCCTAGTCAATCATGCCTATATCTTGCACTCATACCGACAACAATGACAACGGCTGCTCCGTCCCCCTCTCCCATGTCTCTTCATAGTACATTTGTTCACAGCGTCGATGGCCTGTCCGACCACCATCTTATTGGCCTCTCTGTCCGTGTTAGTAGAACCAACTTTGAACAGCCACACGAGCAATTCTCTCGAAGACGCCAACCTAGCCTGGCTCACCTTGACCGTAGTGTAACGTCTGCAGCTCTCACACACATCCTTGACCCCTCAGATGTATCCGGCGGTTATACTCTAAATGCAGCGGCAAGCCACTGGCAACAAAGTGTCATGACAGTACTAGATGATCTTGCACCATTCGTTACCCAGAAGCGCGCAGCTTACTCCAAACCCCGCCCCCAGCCCTGGGTTACCCCAGAGCTGAAACAGATGTTTCATCGACGAAGCTCAGCCCACCGCGCCTTAATAAAGCACCCCATGGATGACCGCCTCCGACAGCAGTATCGTGCAATACGTCGTCAAGGAACTTTACTAAACCGCAAACTGAAAAGTATGTACTACAAAGATAAGTTCAGTGCCGCTACAGGAAATCCTAGACTCCAATGGGCAGTGCTGAATCAACTAACTGGAAGGAGAAAATCCCACCCCACACCGAAAGCCTCCCTCTCATCTTTGTCAGATACCCTAGGCAATATCGTCCATGATGAACACCGCGCTGCTCTTACGACCCCAGACACTCCGGCGGACGACTGTTTAGACAACTGCCTTCTCGAGTTCCAACCCGTTACAACAGCAGCAGTAACGAAGATTCTCGAACGATTGAATACCACGAAAGCATCTGGATCAGACGGCATACCAGCTTACATCTTGAAACACCATGTCGCCGAGCTTGCCAATTCCTTAACTTCCATCTTCAACCAGTCATTGTCTAGCGGAAAGGTACCGTCAGCCTACAAACTAGCGTCTGTGTGTCCAGTGTTTAAGAAAGGCGACCCCTACGACAGTTCCAACTATCGCCCAGTCTCGCTACTGCCCATTATCTCCAAAGTCTTGGAATCACTAGTGCTCCAGCAGCTTCACGACCATCTGGACATCACACCCGGAGCAATTCCAAATGAACAGTTTGCATACAGGCGGAACCACAGCACTGAGGACCATTTAACACTTGCCATCAATAACTGGCAGAGAAGCATGGATACCGGAGACTATACGGCCGTATTGCTGCTCGATATGAGCAAAGCCTTTGACCGCGTCCACCACCAAACGCTAATAGATGACCTTCACAATCTGAAGATCCGTGGAAATGCTCTTGAGTGGTTCAAGTCGTATCTGTCTCACCGACAGCAACGCGTAGAAGTGAACGGAACCACAAGTGACTGTAGAACCTGCACTAGGGGCGTTCCCCAGGGTTCCGTCCTAGGCCCTACCCCCTTCAGCATCTACACTCGACTTGTCCCCACTCTGCCATTGCGTTCCCAATGCCTTCTTTATGCAGATGACACCACCCTGTATGCCTCTGGAAAGTGTCCACGAATTCTCATGTCTTACTTAGAAGACGATTTTTCAGTGGTGAAGCAGCACCTCACAGATCGCGGCCTGCTCCTGAACTCCAGCAAGAGCCAAGTACTACTGATCCACAGCAGACGCTCACATCCTCACATCCTCCACCTAACCTGAGCATTGTCTGTGATTGTATGTGGTTCGTCTGACGAAGTTAAGAATCTAGGACTGACTCTCGATTCAACTTTAAGTTTCAGTGCCCACGTTAACTCCCTCGGGGAAGACATCGGAAAGAAACTAGGTGCTTTTCGACGTGGAAGGAGGAACCTTGCTGTCCAGGCCAGAAGGCAGTTCTACTTGTCAGTAGTCCAGAGCAAGCTCGAGTACGCCAGCACTGCCAACGTCCACTGCCTCGCTGACAATGTGAGAGATCAGCTGCTATGCATAAATAAGAGAGCACTTAGATGCATATTTGAGCATGACATATTCACGCGGACATCATACTTGCTTGAGCGATACCACATAATTAGCTTAGACAAAAGATATCATACTAAGTCCATATTCTTCGTGTTCCGTTGCATCCACAATATCTGCAGTTCACTCCTCTCTGACATGTTCTCCCTTCGCCGTGACTGCGCTCACACAGATAGAGTAACCCGCGGCCAAGTCAATTATTCCCTTTCCTTACCCATTGTGCAAGCTCAAGCTAGATACAGATCTATTTCATTCCTTGGTGCTGACCGCTTTAATGCGCTTCCCGAATCCCTTCGCACAAATCATATCCCCAATTCATTTCGCCAGGAACTTAACAATTTCATTCATCTTGGGCACCCTGTAAGAAGACCTTAGGGTCTGTTGGGAATGCCCAAGTATATTATTATTATTATTATTAAAAGCATGTCCGCGTTGGTGGCGGGGTGCCACTTTCGCTTATGCCATTCAAGATTGATGTCTGAAGAGTAATACGATACAATGAAATGACAGAAGTGACGTCAACAAAAGCCGTTAGCAACAACACCAATAATTATGACTAATGGAAAACTTCATCCAAAGTATAAAATAAAATAGAATATGCATACAACATGTCTGGTCAGTCCTGTTAGGTGGGGCGGGCTCCACGCCATGCCTGTCGGTCCGCTGCCATTGTGCGGACTGCGTCAACATCTAGCGGCTGGTGGAGGGTAAGTCCATGCCATGATAACAGTTCCGTCTGCAAGACCGTTACCAAAGTCATCCGAGGTCGACCCCTGAAGCGTTCAGTGCCCTCGTCGTTGGCCAGGCGAAGATACATATCCACTGCCAACTGTGGAGGAGCAGTTGGGGCCAAACGAAATATATGGCCAGCGAGACTGTAGCGCTGCCTTGTGATCATCTCGCTGATGGGGACAGCTCCGCAGCGCTTATACAGAGTGTCATTGCTAATTCGTTTAGGGTATCACATGTCGATGATGCTCCTTAGCTGGGTCCTGTGGAACGAATCCATTCGCGCGAGCTCCGACATCGGTAGGCCCCAAGTGCTGCAGTTGTAGGTAAGGACTGGGATGACGTAGGCGTTGTAGAGCCTCAGCCGAAGACCTTCACTGATCTGGCGCCTCCGGGTCCAGATCTTGAGGAGTGAGTTGAAGGCGGCGGCGGCCAGTTGACGCCTCCGAGCAGCATCTTCGGCGTCACCCAGGAGGGAGCCTAGTTTGCGGACAGTACGCCACGTTTCTTGGTTCCTATCGGGAAATCGGGCGACGGTGGTATGCTCTGTCTTGGAAGGATTAACGTTCAGGTTCCATCTCGCAAGAACTGCTGGAGCTTGTTGTTCAACTTCACTGAGAAACGTCTCATCCCGGCTCACAAAATCAACATCGTCCGCGTATGCGATATCCAGCGGCAGGTCATTGTCCACAGTAGGGCGAGATGGCAGCTCCTGTCGTAGGTCCCGGAGAGCAGCCTCCAGGTAAATGGTAAAAAGCACTGGAGGGAGACTGTCCCCTTGAGGGACTCCGATATTTGTCTTGAAGGAGCTTTTCGATGCACCTTTCACACGAGGTTCAAGCCAGGTTTCAGTCAACAGTATACGGATCATTCGGAGCTCACTTTCTTGGAGGAAGGATTCAAGGATCCTCATCAGGACATCGCGGCGGACAGTGTCGAATGCTTTACTCATGTCAATTCCCAATATGTGGATGGACGTATTGAATCGCTGCGTCATACTGCATAGCCATCTATGGCACCACACCACATCACTTGTGCTGCGGCCACGGCGAAAAGCACTTTGGGATGTAGCCAGGTACTGATCAACCGCTGGCTGTATCCTCTTCAGCACAATCAGGGACAGCATCTTTCTCAAAGCCGAGAGCAGTACGATAGGGCGCGTAGACCCAGGTGCTCGAAGTCCGTACACGTTTACAGTGTGTGTTTGCCGAGCTGAAACTCACACTAGCAATGATCACTTGCCAGAATCCTGCTCGTGGATGGAAGGTATCTTGTCCAAGTTTGTTTTGAGGCCAGGCTCGATTGAACCAGGCCATCTTTCGATCCGATCTGTTTCTCTGGAGTTCGCTCATTTTTCATATCAAAATTTGGTGTCGCAGAGGGTACTCTAAGTCCGTACTGATCAGAGGTGACTCGAAATACACACATATTTCTGCTAATTGCTAACTTACAATCCCTCGGTTACGACGAAAGCACCGAAGGGATATGTTTGGCATGTGCCTCCACCGGTATTTCTTGCAAAAGCGTAGTTTGTTGCCGAAATGCAAGCTGTTTTTAGTCGGCTCAGAGAAGAAGCAGCTGCGCTGTGAAAACCGCGGGAAAACAGTGGTGGAGATGCCAGGAGTGTCAACCTTTCTGCAAGGATTCGTGGTTCTCTGTAAATTCTTCTCCTCTGGCCATTGTCAGCTCTAAGCTGGCTCTTGATGATTGAGTGAAGGTCTGTTTGACGCTGTGTCCGTTCGAAATCGGTCTTGGCAAAGTTGATTTTTGCATGAAATGTAACCCAATTTGTATTTCGTATGGACACTCGAAAACCCACTCCCGTGGTATGGGACTTCTGCTGATCGTAGATCCCTGAAAATTGGTACGCGAGGAGAACATACCACACTGTCCCCTCCATAAAATATTTGAGTCGAATACAATAACAGAACATGAAATTATGGGCGTACGAACTTAGGATACCATGTACGGACTTCGAGCACCTGGGTCTACTAGTAAGCGGGCGGCCCTAGTGGTTTACCGGGCTTCTGCAGCAGTATTAGGGTTCCTCTGCCAACTTCGAGTGGGTCATGTGTCTCAATAGCTCGGTTCAAGATGTCGGAAGTCATCTCAGCGACAATGGGAGGACTGTACTTGAGTAACTCTCCGGAGAGATGGTCAGGGCCTGCCGCTCTCCCGTTATTCAGGCTTTGGAAGGCCCTCCTAACTTCGGACGATGTGATATGATTGGGGAGAGGGCTGGGATCACCTAGGAATTGTGGAATGTCAGGGAGGGATTTATCATGGAATTGGCTTTCATAATGTTTGATGATGAACGCCTCCTGGTCTGCAGGGTTGATAACGACCCGCTGCTTCTCATCATGAATAACAGGCTGGCTGTACGGTTTTCGCTTCAGTAGCTGGACAGCACGGAACATCTTTGCCCCACTATCATGCAGTCGCTCCACTTCCTCTGCTTGACGATCCAAGGCTCTCTTGGCATTGTCAGATGCGATATCACGAATTTCATGCATTGTGCGATTTCTTTGATTTTTTAGTGACTGTCTTTTCTGGTGATCCCTGCACTCTCCAATCGCCAGGCGAAGATCTTTCTGCTTGCGTGACAGCAACTCAATTTCAGGGGAGAAGTCATGGCGGTGATGTTGTCTCTGCTGAGTGCCGGCCGAATCCAGTGCTGATTTGCTGAGGACTTCAGATAAGGATTCCCAGACTGCTTGGGTGCTGTTGACTTCTGATGACACGCTGCACTGGACCTGGGTCTCCACAGTTCTCTTGTAGGATTCCCGAATTGCGACATCTGAAGCAAGCTTTCCAGTGTCAGGGCGGATGTTGCCGGCAGTGGTCTTGCGTTGGTGCATACCCAGAACACCATAGAATCTCGACATGTCCAGTCTCGCCACAACTAGGCGATGGTCGGAGAATACATATGTTCCCGCATACGACCTTGCGTCTGTTAGAATGGGACTCTGGTTCTGACGGCAGCAGATGTAATCTATCATAGTGTAAACAGGAACACCGGAATTGTCACAGCAAGGGCCTTGCCACGTTGTTTTTAGCGCTATGCTGAAATGCTGTGTTGCCAGCGAACAGGTTGTGAGCTTCAAGGAAACTAGCAAAAAACTCCACCACTCAAGTTTCGTTGACCGCGGCCATGGCGTCCAAGAAAGGACTCGCCACTTTTGCGTATCCCTAGCTTCGAGTTGAAGTCACCAGCTACGAACAATAATCCACTGGAAGCGTAGTCAGTCACGGCGTCCAATGGCCAAGTAAAATAATAAAATACAATACAATACAATACAATAAGTGCATGCGCTTATATGTGAACACTATTGGTGAAACACCCGGGTGCTGAATATACTGCTAAGCATTGTGATAACATAGTTGTTTATAACACAGACAAACCTTTGTGGCACTGCACATATGCGCATGGGCTTCTACCCGAACATGTTCACACAGCAAAACACTTTTTGTAGCAAATTTTCTCTTATAAGCCCATGCACTTACCTGTATATGTGGGGAAGTACGGTAGGTTTTTTAAAATTGTTTTATGCTGCTGCTGCCTTATGACACACATGACGCCCCTGCGACCAGAATGGTTATGGGCTAATAATTAACCCATACAATAAAAGTAAACTGCTGTTGTTCTTAGTGTTATTTCTCTAACTTAGATTTTCTATAATAGTTCAATTTTGTTTTCATTGTCCTAGTTTAGTACAACGAAGATTCCTGATGAGTGTTGTACGAACACTTGTTTGAATCCTCATTTTCTCTACACCATTTCTTCACATTTTCATCGTTTTATTGCACATTGTCTCCACAGTTTTACATTACATGAATAAAGTGTACACAAATGTCGATCCAGCTTGTATTACTGATTGCGGTTAATAAAATAAAAGTAAAAAGTAAATTATCGTGTCTGTTCCCGAAGGGAACTCACGACGGGTGCTAACATGGCCGCTAACACCCGTTATACTGAGCTTGTATACAAACTCCCATCTCTCCCCACACAACACTCCAGACTTGTATTTTGCATATAACAGGTACTTCGATGACGAGAATATAAACTGGTATATAAACTGGTATATAAACTGGTATATAAACTGGTGTATAAACTGGTATATAAACTCCTTTTTTTTTAGGATTACACTAGTGACCTGCAGTCCGCCTTGATGGTTTTTCGACATGCACGACGGTCCCAACTTCAGGATCTCTTTCCCGTCAACGATGAAGAATACAACGTCGTCCTTTGTAACATGTGCCATGTGCTGCACCTGACGTTCGAGGCTATCCTTCTTTCGCTGTTTCAGCACTCCGTCTGTCAAGCGCAGCACTCGACATGTGCGGCTGAAGAGCCCCGCGGCCGGCCCGCGTGCCGCTCCTCCTGCGTTTTTGCATGGACATAGAATGCAGATAGCAGGGGCGACGGAACTTCACTACTGATGGTTTTCCAATCGATGTTCTCCTTTCCGCGTCCCTCGCAGAGCGGACGGAACATGCGCAGCCATAATCCGTGGCACTGCCAGTGTTCTTAGAAACTGCTGCTTGAATAATGACATCGTGATTCGTGGTCGTCCTCAGAAGAAACGTTTGGGAGTCGATTCAACAGGCTCGTGCTGATTCATTTTACTCTTACTTTGGAAAGGAGACGAACTCTATGTCTCTAAAGTCTAATGAGCAAACGGTTCTTTTACAGAGCCCGCGGTGAGATCTGCGCGCGGTAACGGTCACTAGCACTGTGAGGTTCAAACTAACTACTTACTTGGCGCATAGCTGTTACTTCCGATGTAACTACATGTAGTACTTCAGTACTAAACTGAAGTCACAAAGAGTGTGTGATGGTACTGCACTAGCACTGCATGCACTGCACAGAGTCAGTGGTAGTCTTGCACTTGATCCGCACTGCACTGGGTTGGTGAAAGGAAGACTCGTCGAGCCATGGTTGTGGGTTGGAATTCCAATCTCTACCCTTGTGGGGGAGAGGGGAGTTTGTATATCAGCTCAGTATAAGCATAATATAACCTACTCAGTTGATTATATGGGAAATATAAACCAATATACAAACCTCGGCTTCGCCTCGGTTTGTATACAGGTTTATATTTCCCATATAATCAACTGGTTAGGTTATATTACATGTATATACGTAAACCCTAGGGTTTACCCATACAATCAAGAGTACATAACCATGTACTCTGTTATGTACTCTGTTATGTACTCTTGATACAATACATCATACATACTGTCGGCACCGAAGTTACCGAAAATAGAACACCACCGAAAAGTTCTGCTTTTACAGTAAACAAAATGACTTTGTACTTGTTGTGAAACCACAAGTTCTCGAGAGTGAAAGGCCTTCTCGCTTGTGACATTGTGTTCGTTCCAATGCAGCTGTATCCCGACTCCGCCGTACCGCTGATGTTTACGACGTAGTATACGCTACATGCGCTATGTGCGGTTTACTGTGTGCGCTGTAGTTGTATGTTGTATGTGTATGCTTTTCTCATATACGCTGTCATTTTCACGCTATAACTACCTGGTGGTTTTAGGCCTCGGTCACACTACGGCAAAAATGCTGCGTCAGCGTCAGAATCATGAGCTTTTCCATGGCAACTGACGCAACGCGGGAAGTTTGAGCGTCAGACGCTGCTGCGTCTGACGTGGGGAAATCGGCTGCGTTGCCGCTGATGGGAGTGACGCTTGGCGGAAAAACAGTGTCTTTCAAGTAAAATTAGTTTCAAGACACTTTGCTTGAGTTGAGCAGTTATTCGACATTCGTCTGTTCAAGGTTTGTTTTGTTCCCTCTTTTTGTTCGAGATGAGTCCGTGGACCTACGAGGCAGAGGCTGCTCTGCTCCGAACCTGGCGGAAGAGCGAGGCGTTTTCTGAGAAGAAAATGATGTCGAGAAAGGACCAGTTGTTTGAGTGGGTCATCGGCCAACTGGAGCCTGTTGACTTGTGAGTGTTGTGTTGTCGTCAAGAGCCCCAAAAAGGACAGCCAGTATGACGAAGTCAGGAGAAACACAGCTGCGATGCGGACTTTTCTTGCCTGATCAATGACACTACAACTGAAAATGGCTTCAAATTCGGAAAGAAACAACAACGATCGTGCACGCGTGGACCTAGTACCTTTCGTCTTCTTGTAATCAAAAATCAATGAAAAATTCGAAAACTTTGTCCGACAATTTTTTTGTATAATAAGCAAAAGGCCGGTTTCCGTGGGAATCCGTGTCGTCATTGAGTTTTCCTGGTGGTTTCGTGACGTAGACAAATGCGTCAAGCCGCGGCAGTCATGAGCTGCAAAAAAAACAAAACACTGTGTGACCCCGCGTCTCCGTCAAGTGCTGCGGCTTGACGCTGCGTCCAGCTTCAAACTGCCGTAGTGTGACCGAGGCCTCGGTCACACTACGGCAAAAATGCTGCGTCAGCGTCAGAATCATGAGCTTTTCCATGGCAACTGACGCAACGCGGGAAGTTTGAGCGTCAGACGCTGCTGCGTCTGACGTGGGGAAATCGGCTGCGTTGCCGCTGATGGGAGTGACGCTTGGCGGAAAAACAGTGTCTTTCAAGTAAAATTAGTTTCAAGACACTTTGCTTGAGTTGAGCAGTTATTCGACATTCGTCTGTTCAAGGTTTGTTTTGTTCCCTCTTTTTGTTCGAGATGAGTCCGTGGACCTACGAGGCCGAGGCTCCTCTGCTCCGAACCTGGCGGAAGAGCGAGGCGTTTTCTGAGAAGAAAATGATGTCGAGAAAGGACCAGTTGTTTGAGTGGGTCATCGGCCAACTGGAGCCTGTTGACTTGTGAGTGTTGTGTTGTCGTCAAGAGCCCCAAAAAGGACAACCAGTATGACGAAGTCAGGAGAAACACAGCTGCGATGCGGACTTTTCTTGCCTGATCAATGACACTACAACTGAAAATGGCTTCAAATTCGGAAAGAAACAACAACGATCGTGCACGCGTGGACCTTGTACCTTTCGTCTTCTTGTAATCAAAAATCAATGAAAAATTCGAAAACTTTGTCCGACAATTTTTTTGTATAATAAGCAAAAGGCCGGTTTCCGTGGGAATCCGTTGCGTCATTGAGTTTTCCTGGTGGTTTTGTGACGTAGACAAATGCGTCAAGCCGCGGCAGTCATGAGCTGCAAAAAAAACAAAACACTGTGTGACCCCGCGTCTCCGTCAAGTGCTGCGGCTTGACGCTGCGTCCAGCTTCAAACTGCCGTAGTGTGACCGAGGCCTAAGTGTTAGTTGTTTTCAGTTGTTCATTCATCGTTCATTGTTATTAGTCGATGGAAGTGAAATATACTGTTGAGAATAAATAGTTGTCCTCGTGCCGTGCGGGGTCGTTCGTTCCTGATACTTTAGAGAGCCAGAGGGTTCACAACAGTACTTGTGAACAAAACAGTAAGGTACTACTTGTAGTTGTGCTACTACTAAGGGCCTGGTCACAGTGGTCAGACTGCGGCAAAAACGAAATAATCCTGTGGTCATGTAATCCGAATCTCCATAGAAACTTGTCGCCAGAGCCGCAAAATCGAGGGTTGACGCTCCAAAAAAAAAGCAAGAACGGACCAAGTGCACCCTTTCCCGCTCCAAACAGGATTTTTTAACGCTGATACGCCATTGACACAGATATTCACTGATTTTTTCATCTCGATATCGAGACCACGGACAACAACAAAACTCAAAAGGATAATTGCAAGGATTGCACTGAAGGTGTTGGCGATTACGGAGGTGAAGGATTTTATTTGACGTTGTTCGTGGAGATTACCACTTGGCGCTCGAAATGAATGTTGAATTTCATTCTTCCCACGTGTGTAGTGTGATCGCTATTCTAATCCTGATGAACGCTTTTCTTTTTTCGTCAGGCACCGAAAATAATTATTTGAAAAAAGTGACCTTGATCTCGCTTGAGCAATGACTCAAAAAGTACGAGTAAAGATCGAGTACATTCTCAACTCAACATTTTCAGAGTAGATCTACATGTACTACGACTCGAGTACGA